AGAGCAAGCCAAGACATCTGCCTTTTTACTTGTTGAGAGGAATTATCTTCTGTAAACCATTAGTACGAGAGCATGCGTGTTCATACCTACCTCAGCCACTAAAATATTTTTGATACATTAAGTAGGAAAAAGTTATCGAGCAAAACCTGATCTAATGGAGAAAAATGCTTGATAAGGGCTGCATGCAGAGAACAAAATCAAAATGTCATTTTTAAGCAGCTGCTGTTACTTGTTTGACTAAAAAGCAGTACCAGCTTGACACTACAAACTGTGTTTACACCAAGAATAAGCTCTTGCCAAACTCGGGCATGTCCAAGACAGGTGTGAGGTCTTTTCTCATCGTTAACTTTGAAAGCACTTCGGAGAGAGGACCCTTACCCCTGTGGCTGGCAGGAAAAGCCACTTGCGCACGGGCATCGCTCCAGAACTCCGTCGGGTTCCAGCTCCCAGGTGATGAGGTTGAGAAGTCTGTTGGAAGGATCGTGGCAGGGTTCGCCTTGTTCGGGTAAGGGCGTGCACACGGGAAACAGCAGTTCTGCGTGGCAGAGTGAAGTTTAGGAGAATCATTAACTGAGTGTTAAACAGAGATGACTTAATTTGAACGTTCAGTTCCGTATATGTGATGACAAAGACAAGTCTCTTTTGAAGTCTCCTTAAGCACTGAGATCCATTGTTTAACCCTCTTTCCACTAGGTAGGAGAAAGACAACTGGGTAAGACAGATCTATCCTAATGAGCAAGATCCAGTCCACAAAGACACTGCTGTCAGTGTAATATAACTGCAACTCTGTCTTTGGTGATTTTGAAGACTGCTCTAAAATTAAGGAAACTAACATTACAGTGACTCCTTTGCAATGCACAGTTTTAATGGTTTAAAACCTGCATGTAGAAACACTTTTGTTACAGAAGTGTCTCTGCTAACTCTTGTTATATCTTTACGGAGATTACAAGTACAGAAAATTTGTTCAAAAGACTAAATAACTTGGTTGTAAGAACTGCTCCCCAGCCATTTAATTTGTTACATGGACAATTCTGCAGTAAGCAAAACTGATGAGATAAAATGATGAAAACTATGAAAAATGCAGGGGGAAACTAAGGAGTGGAAAACAGTGAAGAGTCTGGGAGAAGGGAGAGTGACCTGGTAGGATCTAGGACTAGTTTGAGGCTCTCTAGCTTCTTTCTCCACTCCTTCCTTCTATAAATCAAGTTTTACCTGCCTGTGTGCACTGGCAATAATCTCTCATCTCACTCCAGTATGTAGCCTGTCCATCCAGTCAATATTGTACCCTGTGGTGCCACAGACAGCCCATATAAAATGTATGAAATGTATATATAACCTGATTTTGATACCCAATCTGCTGGCATGAGGGAAAAGCCACTTTCAATAATTTAAATCAATTTGTCAGCCATTTTCCATGCCTTTATATTTCCTACGTAAAGTGAAATTTAATACAGATCTCTGCAGCTCTTAAATGACTCAGATTCTTTACAAACATTACATTTTTGTATTTCTTACACTGTTCTCACTGTTTATATGTAGTAGGCTTTTTTCATCCATTGGATGCTCCTCTCGTTTCTGGTCTCCAGTGCTATTAAAGCTTTTATAAAAATGTTCATGTAGAGCACCCGTAGGACAAGGGAGAACGACCCAGTGATTTTGCCCAGGTTTAATCACTTCACCCAAGCAAAACAGCTAAATGTGAACACTCCTGTATTAGAAAGCACCTGGAATAAGAACGGGAACCTCGGTACCTTTCTGGAATGCACAGCACGTTCCAGGGTTGCAGTCATGCTGGTTCTCACAAATGGTGCCGTTCTCGCCTTTGGAAGCCGCTTCCTTGCACTCGCCCCAAACGCAGAGCTGGTCGCCGCAGCACTCGACGTCCCGCGCGCAGTGCTGGCAAAGGGAAGGGCACGTGACACAGCTGCCCCTCCAGCCCTGCCCGCGGGCCCCAGCGGGCAGCCCCGCGCAGAAGCAGCCTGCTCAGGAAGGCAACTGCGTGTGCCGTGCGGCCAGCAGCACGCCAGGCTCCCGCTGCTCGCAGGCTGGCTCGCGTCTAGCTGCCTGCTAGACAAGGACCTCAAGGGCAGAGCTATGGCACCACTCAATGTGTGCTATGCTCTGTTTTGCAAGCCCTCAATTCCTTTTTTTTTTTTTTTTTTTTTTTTAAGCTTTTGGATGAAAACTGACCAGTAGTCAGACCACCTACAGTAAATGTGCATTCCAGGACAGCCTTTTGTCTTCAAGGGTTGGGGAAGCAGAGAATATTCCTTCTGCTAAGCACAGTAGTTTATAGTCTGATCAGCATGGCTGTTTTTAAAGAACAAAACTTGATCTTAGCAAAATCCTATTCATAATATGAACCGTACCTTAGTTGTAATCAAGTGCCGTGGAAACTCAAATCTCTAGAAAGCTTTGCCAACAACACAAACCTAACGAATCAACCCTAGGAAAGCAGCATGGTGGTGGTGTCTTGTTTTGGTAGTGTGTTTCATTTTTTGATGGGTGGGTGTGTTTTTCTTTTTTTTGGTAATTTGAATATCTTAAGAGATTTCAAGTAGGTCAGTTTTGGGGATTGTTTTTTCCCTGTCTTTATAAAGCCCTGTTTAGACAACCATACAAAATTGGAAGTGTTTCTTCTCCACTGTAGTCTCAGTTTTGCTTACTGCAACTAAGACTACACTAGCACTATAATGACCTACTGCTTATAAAGAGGTTTTATGCTTGTTTGCTATTGTAGAGGTTCCATGTCCAGTCTGAGTTCACTTTGTAACAGGAGTAGAGCTAGGATAATTTTTACCCTATTTATATTCTAAGGTTTTGCTGAAAAGTGCATAGAAAAATGGGGTTGGGACTAGGGGTAGGTTCCAGAAACATTCTAAACTTGCTTTTTAATTGCTCCATGTTAATGTGAAAAGCAATCAATTTAACATCTTGAAAATTTCAAATAATTGACTTAATGACACCCAAAATGGAATTTTGCAGGATTTGAAGCAAACATTCAATCCCTAGTCATTACATCTCCCTTAAGTTACCAAATTAAGGTTTTAAATCACTGCAGGAGCAGTCTGTTGCTTTTAGTTAATAATAATCCCTGGAATTTTGCAGGATTTGAAGCAATCCCTAGTCATTACATCTCCCTGAAGTTACCAAATTAAGGTTTTAAATCACTGCAGGAGCAGTCTGTTGCTTTTAGTTAATAATAATCCTACTGATTAGCTGACTTCACAGCAAGGCTGACTTGCTTCTAGGCTAATCTGCAAATAGCTGGGGCAATAGATTTGTCCATCACCACTTAAGTGAAGCAGGGGGCAGGTTTTTAAAGTATACAAGAAGAGAAACTTTGAAACTTAGTTGTGTTAATAGGCAGGTGGGGGGAGACTGTTTTTCTTTTAGCCTCACAGAGCAAGCTGTGCATCTTCTTTAAGTAGTAATCTGATTTGACATGAGCAACAATAATACAGGTGAGTTTCTAAAGACCACGTAAGGTCACGTATCATTTAGGACTTACTGTGTGCTGGGTTTTACAGGGCTGACATTTGTACTCCAGGGTGGAGAACTGGCAGTATTTTCCTGTGTCACAGTCTTCGTCAATGATACACTCCTAAAGAAAAGGATAAAAGTGTGATTTGCCACAATGCGGCAGAAATCCTTACCTCTCCTTGAAGTGCCAGAAGGTCTTTTGACTATATTTTTTTATTTGGGAATCAAGAAAGAACAACTTTCCTTGGTCTTTCCGTACGACAGTAGTTCTGTAATAGAACAACACTGTTTCTCAGGCACAGTTAGCGATTGTTGCCCTCAGGAGGCAGCAGGGTGAGACTCCATAAGCAGGAGGACAAACAGAAGCTTCTCCCCTGGCCTCCTTTGCAAGAGGCAGACAGACTCTTCTTACCATGGCTCATCGCCTGTAAGCTCACAGCTGCAGAAGCTGAAATACCTACACCCGTTTCAAATCCTCATTTCAGTTTCACCTGAATACTGTGAAATAGGCAGGAATAGATTTCGGCTGATGTCATTCCCCTGGTATCTCTGAGTTCACTTTTGCTAAGCTTTAGCTGGTCCAAGAATGTAACTTGCATTTCCCATGCTTTCAGAATGCATGTAGCTAACTCTGTTTTCACCCCAGAGATCACTTACTGCACGTGACCCATTTGAACACTGACTGAGGATTGGCAAATTGAGAGCCACACACATCACAGGGAGAAAAACCTCTGCTCCCTAAGGCCCAGCACGTCTGCCTTTGCCAGCCGCCAAGCCCCTCCAGGAGGCCGAGGTGCAATGTCCAGAGCCTGGATGCGCTTTGCGGCCTTGACGCTCATGTGCTTGAGCAGAGAGGGACACCCAAGGTCCCCTCCTGAACCTCAGACTCAAGCTTCTCCACCCAGAAATGTCCCAAGTGCCACGGCAGATACAGCTCAATTTCCGTGTGTCCCGTGTGGGGAAAGCACAAACAGGCCAAGCTCTTCCCTACGTGTTTCGGGTTGGTTGGGTTTTTTTGTAGAGGTGCAGTGCTGAGAAAGAACCTCTGAAAGCAAGTGCAGGTGGATATTTCTGTGGAACCTGGAAAGCCTGGTTCACAGGGAAGCTGCTTTCTGTTCCCCTTTACAGCTGCTTCTTCAAAATTAAGTGACTAACTGTTGTCTGAAATGTATTTTCTCCAGGCTAGACACAGTCTAACCAATAGAGGACTAAATTACAGCACGATTCCTGCATGAGTCATTTGTACAGGATTTTGGTTTCTATCATCATAAGGTTGATGCTATGGTTTTGCTATTTGCCAGTATCAAAAAAGTTACACAAAAATTCCAGAATTCTCCGAAGAGACTACTTGACTGCTGCTTGGTGGATATTCATCACTTTCTGGAACGGTTCAACTCCCAGCTTTGCAACCTTTATTTAAAGTTATTATTCAGCTTCTAATTTTGAATTTGTTTCCTCAGGTGCTTTCTCCCCAGCCTCCCGGCTTCTTCCACCCTATTCCAATTGGGTTTTGTGTTTCTGCTGGAGCAGCTGGGCTGAAATGTGGTTTGTGAATGTGGTTGTGCAGTTAACTCAGAAGTTCAAAGGAAGCTCACCCCTCGCCTTTTGGAGGCGTGAAACTACTATCCTGTCTTCACATCTCCTTCAAATTCCAGTTTACAGAAGCCACTTGCACGGTACCAAACAGGGCTGCCCTGCGTGCAGAGCAGGGCTCTGTTTAGGATACCCATCCAGGCCATAAGAGGTGCTTTTCAAACGCTTGGGCTGCTCAGAGCGTAGAGCAGAGGCAAACGCAGCCTGTGGCCTGGTTCCTGCTGCGTCAGTGAAGCAGCACCTCAGTCACACGTCTGTTGTTAAGGGGCTGTTTGTAAGACATGAGTATCCCTGAATCTGGGATCCTCTAAGCTGCCATAATTTGTAGTTTCGTTTTTCTAGTGCAGTAATAATGTGTGTTTTGTTTGTTTACTTTTAAGTTTGTGCTGCTACATAATCAGCTTGGTGGAAATCACAATGTTATGTAGCGTGTTGGAGGTTTTGTGGTTCCCAGTTAGCTCAGTCAACTCCTGTCACGACTCCCTCTGTCTGCACCACGCCGTGTTCAAAATAAACCATACCATTTCATTCCTATTCCATATGCCTTCAGGCAAGCAGCCAGCTTTCATGCAGTCAGTTTTTCCAATTGTTGCTCTCTCCCAAGCAGGAATCTTGCCACAGTCGTTTTAAAGCTCATGGAATAGCTCTAGCTCTAAACCACCTAACATCAAAGCTGTAGCTCCTCAGTCGCTGCTGCTTCTAGCACTAATGCAAACCCCTGCCAAACACCCTTTTTTATTCTTTTACTGAACTATATCCTAGCAGTTTAGAACCCCAGTTTCATGAGAGTTTTCAGTTGCGGAAAAAATTCCTTCATATTTCTTTCCAGACAAGGGAAGAAGACTGTATTCATGCGCTCTCTTAATTCTGTGAAGTTCAGTGCTTCCCCCCTAAACCATCCTCCTTCACTCCAGTATTACAATCCACACGTCAGTGCAGACCCCAGCAGTGCCTACACCTGAATCTGTGTAGCCTGTTGTTCTCCTCAGCTGTGTTACAGTTTCCCAAAAGTCCTGAGATAGAACAGCTGCCCAAAAAGCAGCAAAGCTGAGTATCTTCATGAGCTGCAATGGTGTCACAAAAGAAAAAGTCTTCCTGGTATTTTGCAAGCTAATTTATTTTTTCTGCATATTTTTGTTTTTGTAGAGGCACCAGCGTGCACACCACAGAGAGGGGGCACTGGCTTCCAACAAGGAGCACAAAAGGAGGGAGCAGCATGTGCAATGTACCTGTAAGTACAAACTTAGCACCCTTTGGACTCTTAATTATAATATTGTACCCTGCAGTGAATAATCTGCGACACCTGAAAGCAATTTGGGGACTGGGATCTGTTCCAAAGCCCATTAGGGAAAAAAAATAAAAGAAACTAGACAACTGAAATTTCTGGAAAAGCTTCCCTGTGCTTTGAGTTAAGCTCTTTAAAACTGAACTGCAGCTGAAAGAAACTTGGATATCATGCCAAGGTATCGTTTGCTTTCTTAAGAAACAGCGAGCTTTCACGTTTGGGATTTTAAGAAGTTACTGACTGTAGTGATAGTGGAGCCTGGTAGTGACACAGCCACCAGCCAAACGAAGCGGATGCCCATGGGTGCCCCATGCAGCGGCACCGGAGGGCACAAGTCCCAGTGGTGCAACAGGTTGTGACCAGAGCACTTTCCTCCTCGCTGAATGTTTGCAGCACATGGAAAAGCACAGCAGCAAAGCAGCCCTCTTGCGATGTAAGAGGGCAAACGGTCTTTACGTGTCAGCCCCTGGCATGTCTTTGGCCTTCAAAGCACTCTGGGCTTTGGGCAGATCCTGTTTGAAAGGAGGAGGATGGGGCCATGCCATTCTCTGCCCATAGAGCGCAGTGAGTTTGAAGAGGAGAAGCTCTAAGGGCAGAGTTAATCTCCTCTCCTACAGAAACCCACCTTCCTTTGCAGTATTCATAGAGGTTTTATACTTTGCTATGATAATGTTTTTAACATGCTCCTTTGCTGATGATATAGTATATACTGAACTTATGCTTATTTTGCTTTGTTCTTTTCTTCTCCTTTATTCCTAATCAACTGTATTTTTTCAGAAAACACTAAAAAATGCTCAAATCTATTCTGATACTGCCTAACTTCAAAATGAAACCAGTCTTAAATGAAAAGTTAAGTTTTACTAGTCTCTTCCACTCTTCCTCTTCACCCTCCATCCCACATACTGAAAAACTCTTTCTTCAAAGATAGTTTTAAACAAAACTCTCTTCACTAACTCATATCTTCAGCAAATATTTGTCTGGGACAAGCAAATGCCTGTCTGGAATGAGTTTCCTTTGACTTCCTGGCTTTGCACTTCAGCTTAGAACCCCAGAAAGCCCCAAGGAAAGGGCTGCTGGTGAGTTCATACACATTTTTCAGTGGCAATTAATACATTTATCAAGCCTAAAGTCTACACGTGAAAGGGGGAAGCGCATGGAGCATAAAACACGCCTGTGGCTAAGGGGCAGCGGTAGCAGCTCTTTACCAAGGTCACTGATTGCTCTGGCAGTGAAGCTATAAGGAGAAAAGTAAAAGGAATTCAAATGAAAGGGCCATGTTTTCCTTCCCTATGGAAACCAAAGAGCTTTGTTTACTCTGATCCTCTTTCAGTTTGTGACTACAAGCCTTCCAATACCATCTGACAACTGAAGGAGGCAGGCCTGCTTTTAATCTAGGTAAGGCCTCTAAGCCGTAACAGCGCCCGCTGTCAAAGCAACAGCCCCTCAGAAGTGTTCAGATGACATTCTGCTCATCTGCCCTCCAGGCCTTGCATGCCCAGTAATGATTACAGAGTGGGTCCTCCTGAAAAATCACCCACCCTCCCTCTTTTCCTCAGTAAGCACCGTAACTAAGACTGCAGTCTCTGTGAATGCTCCTGAAAAGTGCATTGGCAGAGATGGACCATCAGGAACACAGTGCAAAATACTTATTTTGGTCTATTTTGCAGTAGTATCAGAAGCAGCACATTAGGAGAAATGTTCAATTTTGAAAGACTATATATATATATATATAAAATATATATATAAAAATGCATACTTCTTGTGGATCTATTAATTTAGAACAGTAATTCTTTGCTGTTTAATATCCAGATGTGTCTAAAACTTTGTGGTCTAAAGGACTGTGGTTTTTATTCCAAGTAACTTGAAAAACAGCAAGAACTACAGGAACACAGTAAACCTGTGCTGCTGAGTTCAAAAGTGCCATTATTTCCAAACCGCTAGTAATCATATAAAGAGGCAGCCCTCATAAAATGATGTGCCCAGAAGCTGAATTTCTATGCAGGCATCTCCTCTCTACAATTGGAAATTGCTACAAGGATTCCATGATTCACTACCAAACTATGTAAATTTTGAAATTTTATAAAAGCAAAACAATCCAAAGTAGCCATACAGACAGAGAAAGGATGTGAAACATCTGTGAGAGAGGAGAACCAGCATAAAACAGGATTTCTATATTTATTAGCTCCCTATTAATCTTACTCACTGAACTGAGGAGTAGCACAGACAGTAAGCTGCCAATCTGT